GTAGACAAAAGAACTGCTCTTACTTACATTGATTCTAATGGAAACTGGCATCGGGCTAGCAAAGGTGCCCCCGAGCAGGTATCCGTGATTTTCCTCATGCTGGTATATGCAGTTAGAAAATTGCAAGGAAGTAACACCTATCCGTGTGTTTTCATTGTCCTGTAACAGATACTGGACCTTTGCAACTCCAAGGGAGATGTTCGGAAAAAGGTTCATGCAGTAATTGACAAGTTTGCTGAACGTGGACTTCAATCATTAGCAGTGGCAATACAGGTTTGCTACTCTTCACATTGTTAACATCACTTCATTAAGTAAATTGGGCTAATGATGTTTCTGTTTTCTTTCTCTTCCTTTTTTTTTATTTTTTGATTTTTCAACTTCTCAATTTTTGCAGGAAATACCTGAGAAGACAAAAGATAGTTCAGGGGAACCATGGCAGCTTCTTGGTTTGTTGCCTATATTTGATCCTCCGAGGCATGACAGTGCTGACACCATTATAAGGGCTCAAATCCTTGGCGTGAATGTGAAGATGATTACTGGTGAGACTAAATATTTTACTTAGTTTTAGTTCAAAAAGTTTATTTATTTATTCTAAATTGATTATTATCTCGCTCCTTACGTTATACACACCTGGTTTTATTATTTAGGTGATCAGCTTGCCATCGCCAAAGAAACTGGGAGGAGGCTTGGAATGGGAACGAACATGTACCCTTCTTCCTCCTTGCTTTTTGAAGATAAGGATGCTTCAATTGCTGCTGCTTTCTCTATAAATGAGATCATCGAGACGGTAGATGGATTTGCTGGAGTATTACCAGGTGGTTTAATATATTTGTAAATTTTCTACAAAAATATATACCTTTTTTCTCATTCTAATTAAAGAAGCCACAGATGACTTAATAACATCAAGTTTCCATAAAAAAGTAATGATATTTCTTGATTTTGTCAAACTCACTGTTGCCTTCCGGTGTAATAGTTCTTGCATTTTGTCACTTGTATGCATTTTAAAATTTTTTGACTATTGGCCATCCACCTTTCAAGTTACTACCCTGGGTCCTCTTTCTAACAATTTTCTCCCGCCTATGCTAGAACACAAATATGAAATTGTTAAGAGGCTGCAAGAGAGGAAACATATCTGTGGTGTGACTGGAGATGGTGATGCAACTGCTTTGAAGAAGGCTGATATTGGAATTGCTGTTGCCAATGCTTCAGATGCTGCTAGAAGTGCAGCGGATATTTTCCTGACTGAACCAGGGCTTAATGCCATTATAAGTGCAGTGCTAACCAGCAGGGCTATTTACCAAAGGATGCAGAACTACACAGTCAGTTATATTCTAGTTTACCTTTGTTGGCATTCTCTTGTTCCTTGTTTCATGGAGAAAATTGATATGTAATAACCACAGATCTTTTAAATTTGCAGATCTATGCTGTTTCTGCCACCATCCATATTGTGGTTAGTATATCTGAAATTGTCTTTGAGAACATTATGCCACTAGTGTTCAATTTTTGCTGACAAATATGGATATAATACATTTGTTTGTTCCTATATTTGCGCAGTTTGCTTTCATGTTTATTGCCTTGAGATGGTCGTTTGACATTGCTCCTTTTATGGTCTTAATTATTGCCATCCTAAATAACGGTGAGACATTCTTTATTGTTAATAATATGCTTCCGTCACTAGTCTTGTTTGGTACAAGAAAGGTTTGACTGACTCTGAATAGTCGTGAATCTAATGTCCTGCATCACTATATCTATAGTGACAATCATGACAATATCAAGAGACAGAGTGAAGCCATCTCTACAGCCTGACAGCTGGAAGCTGAGAGAGATTTTCACTACTGGTATTGTTCTTGGAGGATACTTGGCATTCATGACTGTATTATTTTTCTGGGCTATGACAAACACCACTTTCTTCGAGGTAAGTATCCTTGCAATCTTCTCTTCATGTTTTGGTAACATTTCTCATGGTTTTTCTTAACTTTTCCAATACCACAGGAGAAGTTTCATGTAACTCTCTACCGCCCGTGGGATTATGGTGAGTCGGTTCCCTACCGCCCGCAGGATTATCGTAAGTCGGTTCAGAAAATAAGGGCAGCTTTATACCTTCAAGTGAGTATTGTGAGCCAGGCCCTTATTTTTGTGACACGATCCCGAAGCTGGTCCTATGTTGAACGCCCCGGACTTCTGTTAATCAGTGCTTTTATAGTCTCTCAGCTGGTAAGACTTCATATCCATAACCCTCCTAGTTTTTTGGAACTGTTATTTGGTTACAAGGTTTCTGCAACCTCTCCATTCCCATTCCTTCTAGTTCTCTTCTAAGGCTGACGTGAGATTACTGTTTCGAAACTTTCTTATTAAAATTCTCAAATATTAAAATTTGAAATTTTCTTAGTAAAATCCTCTAATATCCAAATTTGTTATGGTTTTTATTTTATTTCTTGTCTCTCTTTTCTTCTTGTTAACATATAAAATATTGAAATACTTTTGTCAACAATTCTCCACTTGTCAGATAGCAACACTGATTGCAGTCGATTCAAATTGGGATTCTGTTACCATAAAAGGTATTGGCTGGCGATGGGCTGGAGTGATCTGGCTTTACAGTGTTGTGACTTATATCCCTCTCGATTTTCTCAAGTTTGCCATTCAGTATCTCCTGGGTCGTAAAGTGAGGAATACACTTTTACAGGACAAGGTATATTATTCTCTATGATACTTAACACGAAGAGCTATTTTGGTTTTACTATATATTGTCAACTTCACATAACATCTTCACTGAGATTTCAGTTTCTCTGTTTCTGTTATGCGCTGTTGTCTTCTAATTTCATATCTGCTATTCTAACTTCCATTACAGACCGCCTTCACTACAAAAAACCTTTTCAGTGACAAGAACAGTTATAGGGAACTCTCAGAGATTGCAGAGGAGGCTAAACACCGGGCTGAGGTTATCAGGTAAGTGAACTATGTTACAGAGAAAAATTACCACAATGTGCATTGAAACCAAAGAAGAAAAACTCATGAATGTAGCATTTTTGTTTCTAATGGAATCTTTAGGAATCTGATTCGAGAATGGGAATATATTTTCTTATAACTTTAACTGAAAGATCCTTGCTTTTTATCTCTCAAGGAATATGTGTGGTTACTTAAAAAAGGTGATTTTTGCAGGCCGAGGGAGCTTACACTCAAGGGGCATGTTGAATCAGTTGTTAAGCTGAAGGGACTTGCCATTGACACGGCAGCCTTTGATGCATCCACAATGGAGAATTTTCTGCAAGAGTGGGACAAGGAGAAGCCGGTGAGATACACTGCTCAGCAGCTGGATGACTTTACAAGAAATTACTCGAAAAGGTT